AACTTCACCACTAGATGCCACTGGATCCTGCACACTGGACCTTTAATAGAAAATAAAAAAATCAACATCTAAAGAAACTATATAAATGCCATTTGTGGAAACTGTAAATTTGATTAAATCCAAATCCAATCAAATTTGGAGTGCCTCTGTAGCTGAAAGGTTACAGTGCATGCCACATAGTCACAACTGTTGATGGGTTAACTCCCATTGGTGCCCTTTGTTCCATGTTACACCCCTCTCTCTTCATCCTTTAATGGGCAATTTTATTTCTAATTTTTCTATTCATTGCATACGTGCCTACATGTTATCTGTCCACAGCCCTTACATCAGCTTTATTTATTTAATTGGATCATTATTTACTGTACACTTACTGAACTGCCAAACAAAGGCGGACCTGAAGAACACGTTTGGTCTGTGGAACAATTCTCACGGAAGGCCGAGATATTAAAGTTCAACACTGCAAAGTATCTTTCCAACAGTGGAGAGTTGTGCAAAATGTCATCTGATGTTTTTGGATTGTTTTGTTGGTGTGCTGATGTAATTCCTATTAACACACCCGCCGAGTTCCTCCTACATCAGCTAGTTAAGAGCCAATTTTAGCCAATTTTAGCCTTAGTTTTGTGGATTTGGCCCTTGTTGTGTAACATGATCACTGTGATGGTCAGAGGAGCACAAAGACAGACAGCAGAACATCTCTTATTTATGACAAGATGTCTGCATATGAAATGAGAGAGAATCATTTGCTCTTCATATTCGCCTACACGCTCCTGACCTGCTGCAGAGACGTTCAGGTGAAAACAGAAAGTCGTAAAGGGGACATCACCACACTGCTACGATAGCTTTCAGTGCACTCAATCACAAGACTCACAAACTCCATGATTGCTTTTTTTTTTTTATTAGAAAAAAACAAACAAAACAAAACAAAAAAAAAGACTGAGAAATAAATAGAACAAAACAATGTAAAAATATAATGTTTCAGAGATCTGTGGGGATAATGCCATAGCAACGGTTTGTTCTAATAGCACAATATTTGTGTCAGATTGGTCCCTGGTTTGTTAGACTGATATGAGAAACAACAACATATCATAGCACCGTTGTGTGGTCATCAGGGCTATACTCAGCTCTGATGACCTGTGTAAATCAGACATTTCACATGAATGAACAGACTTGAAAACAATGAAACAACTGAATTAGCTGTGGATCAGTTAGAAAAATGGGGGCACTGCTTACAGTTTCATTTCATATAAATATAATATATTAATTTATACATTGTACACTAGAATGGCTCCATACCACATACACAACTCAGGTAAACACGAGAATAAAAAAAGGCAGCTGACAATTTTAAAAACCAAAACCAGAAGCTGTGTGAAAATTGAAATGAAGTCTTTAAGCTGCACAGCTGAAAATATAAAACGATGAAATCAAGACGGTTCTGTGCAGAAACCTGTGCTTTAGTAATTATCCTGTCTAAAGATAAGCAAACTGATGCCACCTACTCCAAAATGTCTGAAGGCATTGAACTCATTTTTACAATCTTAAGGAGCAAGTGACCAAATGTCAGTATTAATGTGTGTGGGGTTCGAGTATGTGCAAACATTCAGTTGATGACATGAGATTACGACCCTGAATTCACTAAAGATTAAGCCTGTTTCTGCAGCCTTGATGTTAGAATTGAAATGTCTACCTAATTGTGCCAAATGAATAGAGAACATTGATGAGGGTGTGTTAATGAAGGCTAGCTAGCGCACCAGGAGGAAGGTGAGTCCAGCGAGGCCCACGCCCGCAGCAGCAAACAGCGCTGTCTTCATGGACGAGTCCTGACTCACTTCTCTGGCACTGCGGCAGAACTTACAGAACCCCTCCTATAGGAAAGAAAACACAAAGAAATGTTAGGTTGAGAGCATGAAGCCTGGTTTACTAGTAAGAGAGAATATTTATCGGCCACTTGAAGTTTAATTCTGTATACTGTAGGAGGTTTCACCAAACAAATGAGCAAGTATAAGCTGCCAAAATGATTTCCAACCAACAGTGGCTTCAGCTGACGGCTGGTGGCAATTATACAATATATTTTGGAAAATATGCCAGTGTCACTGACAGCCCCGTGTTTCTCCACAAACACTCAGAAGGTGCTGATATCTGCAACTTTTCAAATATCTTGACAGCACAGCAGTTCTTCAAAAGTACAAAAAAAATCAATTATGTCCAAGGGTCAACTGAAAGTTAGAGAAAATATATGCTAGTTTGTCTAGAGAGTATTATTATAATAATAATATTTAACTTCTGCTCTATTAGCAAGAGCACACAGTAAAAAACAGCAGAAAGTCAGAAACTCCATCGTGTTTTCAAACTGAAGCCACACACACACACACACGTCGGTCGACCAGCGAGTGCACCTGCTCTCAGCTCCAGGTGTTTCGCTGCTTTACAGCTGCTTGTTTTTCTGGTCAAACCAAGCCAGCTTTCAATACGGTTAATGCCAAACTCAACACACTGAAGCTTCTTTGACTGTTACTACAAAGTCCATCTGGCTGAACTGGTTACGTGTCTGTTGCAACCAGCTGCCAGCTGAAGAAAGGAGGGGTAAGT